TACAGAATTCTTTCAGCAGTTCACAACTTCTGCACACTGTCATAATCTCACATGGGGTGGGGGGGGGAGAGGATGCTTATACGGCTTCTAGGGAGATCGTGGGCTCTTTTAGGAAATGCCACTGGCCGGATTTATCTAACTGGAGCTCAGGTGGCACTGGGATCTGGCACGAGGGTGTGACAGAATTTGACAATACCCTCCCCAAGTTCTGGAATTATCAATTACATCAACTCAAGTGGCAAAAATAGAACATGACTCCTTATGTGGGGCAGGCCAAAGTGCACATGCTGGATTCAGGCTTGCTTTCTTTATTGTTATATATATATGTGTGTGTGTGTGTGTGTGTGTGTGTGTGTGTGTGTGTATGTGTGTGTATAATATGCTGTGTAACATATATATTTGAGATAAGATCTCTGTATAATACAGGCTGGCTTAAAATTCCTAATCTTCATGCCTTAGTATCCTGAGTGCCATGGTAGTGGCACATACATACACATACACACATACACACGGACACAGACACAGACACACACACACACACACACACACACCACACACACACACACACACACCACACAAAACTACAAACTTTTTTTTTTTTTTTTTGAATAGGGTAGGGTTCTCACTACGTAAACCTGGCTGGCGTTTGATGACAGCATATAGGCAGTCAGATCTCTGTGAATTGGAGGCCAGCCTGGTCTACACAGTAAGTTCCAGGACAGCCAGGGCTGCACAGCGATAGCTTGTTTTAAAACAAGATCAAAAATATAAGAAGCTGGGCAGTGTGACGCACGCCTTTAATCCCAGCACTCAGGAGGCAGAGGCAGGTGGACCTATGAATTTGAGACCAGCCTGATCTACAGAGCTAGTTCTAGGACAGCCAAGGCTGCACAGAGAAACTGTGAGTTCAAAAACCAAAACAAAAATAAATAAAAGAAGAAGAAAAGGAGGAGAGCAATCAGGAGGGGACAAGGGGACTGGGAGGGAGTAAGAAGGGCACTAGAGGGTGAATTTAATCGGCATATACTATGCAAGTGTATGAACTTGTCAAAGAATAAGTGAAAATAACCACAACCAATTGAGGGGGGCAGAGGGCTTCCCCCTGGTGCTTGGAGCACAGTCGAAAACTGATGGAGCACTTGGTATCATTACGTTCGCTAAGGAACTTACGTGACCCAGGCTCTCTGCCGGCCTCTCACTCCTCTGCCCAGGCAGGGGGATTGCACAGGTCCAAAACTGAAGCCCCGGGAACAGACCTGGAAGCAGCTTGTTTACAGAGCCCACATGAGACCCTCATTCCCCAGGGAGTCAAGGGCTTCACCCTTGACTGTATTTGCTCCGTGCAGAATCAGAGATGGCAGCAAAAAGTAAGGCGGAGGTGGGGTAACTCCGGGCACTGTTTTACCCCCTCGCCTCCGAGACATAGCTCTCTCTCTCTCTCTCTCTCTCTCTCTCTCTCTCTTTCTCTCTCTCTCTCTTTCTCTCTCTCTCTCTCTTTCTCTCTCTCCTTCCTCTTTTTCTAGATTTATATTATTATTATTACTTTTTGGTTTTTTGAAATATGGTTTCTCTGTGTAGCCCTTGCTGTCCTGGGATTCACTCTTGTAGACCAGGCTGGCCTCAAACTCACAGAGATCCACCTGCCTTTGCCTCCCAAGTGCTAGGATTAAAAGCGTGTGCCACCACCACCCATCCATTTAACTTATTTTTGATTATGCTTTATGTGCATGTCTGTCTGAGTATGTGTGCCTACAGATGCCAAAGGCATTGGATCCCCCCAGAGCTGGAGTTACTCATGGTGGAGAGCTACCCACGTGGGTGCTGGAAACTGAATTCAGACCTCTGCTCTTAATTGCTTTTGTTAAGAGCAGTTTTCCTACCAGCCTGGTCCCAGAGCTGTGTCAACCCCAAATAAGACACAGAGATGCTGTATTAGATATAAAGCTGTTGGTCTGTTACTAGTGTTTCTTATTGGCTAGCTCTGTCTTAAATATTAACCCATTTCTTATCTTACTGGAGAGAGGGCCCGGACCTCTTCTCTCTAGTCCCTACATCTTGAAATCTCCTCTACTCTCCCAGAATCCTCCTTGTCTCCTAGTCCTGCCTATCTTGCTTTCCTATTGGCCAACAGTGCTTTATTCATTAACCAATAAGAGAAACATATTTACAGAATGACATATCTCAAGACCTGGCTTCAAAACCAAATGGATGTGACAACTGTTCTTGAAGAAAAAAAAAAACAAAAAAACAAAAAAAAACAAAAGGCAAATTCTGTCTTGAAAGTATAACATTGTAAGAATCTCTGATTTTATCATTGCATCGTGAAAACTAAACACAGCTTAATTGAGTGGGTAAAAAAAATTATAGCGGAAGATGATATATTTTTCTTTTAAAAGTTTATGCATTTATTATGTTTTTCCCTTTTTATATAAACTGCTGGGTTTCATTCAGGTGTTTACGTATTACTTTGTTTTTGAGATTTACTTACTTATTTGTTTAGGGAGATGGGGGGTCTCTCTATGCATCCCTGTCTACTCTAGAACTCACTATGTAGACCAGGATCCCAGAATTCATTAGGATCCTCCTGCCAGTGCTTGGGATTAGAGGTGTGCACCACCGTATCCAGTCCAGAGATTAATACTTGATATTTAACGTGTATGGGTGTTTTGCCTTCACTGTATGTAAATGACCATAGAGGCCAGAAGAGGGTATTGGGTGTCCTAGTACCGTAGTTACCTACAGTTGTGAGCCCCCATGTGGGCGCTGGGACTTGAACCTGGGTCTGCTGGAAGAGCAGCCAGTGCTCGTAACCGCTAAGCCATCTCTCCAGTCTGTTTTGGTTTTTGTTGAACTGCTTCCCTGAGCTCCTTACCCCCTCCAACTGGTTCCCCTTTTGCCCCTTGTCTCCCAGTGACCCTCTTCCCCTTCTTTTCTCTCTCCTCTCTAACTATGCCCAAGGCCTCTTTTCCTCTTCATTGTTCTTTTCTAGATTCATGATCTGCAGCAGGCCCAACAGATAAATGGAAATTAAAATCTAGGATATGAGCTAGTACTTATGTGTCTCTGTGGGTCTGGAATATTCTGCTTTATGTGATAATTTCCAGTAACACTCATTTTCTGCAAGGGTCATGATTTAAAATATTTTTCTTTAAACAAACACCATTACATTTATCTAGAATTTTTATTACATTTATTTATTTGTGTCTGTGTGTCTGTGTGTGTGTTTGTATGTGTGTGGGTGCATATGTTATGTGTTACGGCACACATGTGGCGGTCAGGGGGCAATTTGTGGGGGCTGTGTCTCTTTTTCCACCATGCAGGTCACAGGGATGGAACTCAGGCCACCAGGCTTGATGGCAAGCCCTTACCGACTGAGCCAACTTGCTGACCTGGAAGTGATCTCAGCAGCTCAGGTTTTGATTATTGCTAACATTCATTATATTTCCAATACAGAAATGCCTCTGCACCAATGGTTGCCAGACACAGGGAGGGGGAATCCAGGTAAAGTGCTCTCTGTAAGTATGTGCCATTGCGAAGAGTGAACTTGGACTCAGGTGAAGGTGGGTATGCTGGGCAGCCCACTCGCAATCCAAGTACTCAGGAGGCAGAGAAGACTGGATCCCTAGGGCAAGCTGGATAGCCACACTAGTCAAATTGATGATTTCTGGGTTTGGTGAGAAATCTTGGTAAAATAAAGTGGAGAGTGATCAGGGCTGGAGAGACGGCTCAGCAGTTAAGAGCGCATCTGGATCGGAGTCCAGTTCCCAGCATCCATATTGGGCAGCTCCCAAGCTCCTGTAACTGGAGCTCTAGAGGATCTGGTGCTCTTTTCTGGTGTCTGCACATATCTATACATATGTGGAACACACATGCACATGTGCACGTGAGCACACACACACATATGCTCACACGCAGGTGCGCACACACAAATATACATAAAAAAATGAAAAAAAAATTCTTTAAAAAATTGGAGATTGAGGAAGAGACAGGATGTCAACCCCTGGCTTCCACATGAATGTACATACATGTGCACACTCACCCACACCTACACTTATGCCCACGCCTGTGCATTTTACCCCCCCCGCCCCTCCCACTTGCAAAAACAAACATAAAAAGAATTTCAGACTTCTCACAAGAAGGTGCTGGTGGTCCAGCTGGAGTGTTTGTTGACTTCTGATCTTGTTAAGAAAAATAAGACACAGGTTTAATGTTTCTCAACACGCCCACACTCCAACTTTCTGGAAAATAGCCAACAACATCTAAGCTTATGTTTGAAACCGGAGACCCGTGGTTTGTTATGAAACAGGAGTGTGGAGTTTGAATTTCTTCCTGCTTGGCCTTTGTTGACTGTTTGCAGATGGGGAATAGGGCAAGGAGGCAGTGGGGGTCCTGGGGGACAGAGGGAAGGGTTGGTATGGGGAGGAGGACAGAGGACAACTCCACAGAGCTGCAGGCCATCCGTGCTGGGGTTTTACTTGCTAATTGAACCAAGGTGAGGGGCATTGGGCTCCACAGGGAGGCTTGTATCAGGGTAGCCTGAAAGAAGAAACAGGGAGGAATGGGGTGGAGGCTATGACACAGAGAGAGAGCCAGAAGCAAGATACAGCCCTCAAGGTGGACCCTCAGGGACCCACTCCCTTCTAAAAGGTGCAATTTCCTAAGTTTCCATCTCCTCCCAGCAGCCCATCAGATCATGAATTCATCAATGAATTAATTCACAGATGAAGTCAGAGTTCAGTGAACCAGTCGCTTCCCACAAGTCCACCCTTGGCCGCCGGTGACTTGGGGACCAAGCCTTTTTTCCTTACCTTTTAATTAACATATATTAACTGTCCATAAAATGGCTTTATAATATCTGATTTAACAAATTAAAATCACTTTTACTTTATTGTATGTGCATGAGTATTTTGCTTGCATCTCTGGCTGTGTGTCTGGTATTCATGGGAGCCAAAAGAGGACACTGGATTCTTCTAAGACTGGCGTTATAGTTGCGCACCACCATGTGGGAATCAAACCTGGGTCCTCTGGAAGAGCAGCTAGTGCTCCTAAATACCGAACCTCCGCGCCAGCCCTCTCCCAATGGCATTTTCATGAACGTATATAAAGCATTAGGACCATTTCACCCCCATCACCCTCTCTTGCCCCTCCCACTTTTATCCTTCCTCTTTCTAACTAGTCTTAGGGACCAAACTTTTAACCCATAGGCGTTGGGGAGAACATTCTAGATCTAAACCATACCAACTTGCAGTGCAAGTTCTACGTAGGTGTCTCGCTGGGTCTTGTGCTCACAGATAAGCACCAGGGGAACCAAGAGACCGGAAGACCAGAACCGGAAGCAGATGTGGTGAATAGCCTGGTGACCTTTGTGCTGTCGGTGTGGTTGAGGTCACACTTGGTGCCCCGCCCCCAGACCCTCATCATGAGCTTGTTTCTCTCAGTCAGTCTACTGACCTCATCCTTGTGGAAGATGTCACATGTATTTTACAAAGAGTTTCATTGTCGTCACACCTTGAGCTTTACTGTTCACACACGACTAAGTTAATTAGCACCAGAAAAATTTTCACCAAGCTGTGCTGTGCTTAAATAAGGCTGAAATAAACCACTCAGAGGCAGACTCCCAGAGTTTGAGTCATCTGAACTGAACTGCCTTCTTTCCTCCCATGAGTCATTACTCTGTAGGCTGTGGTGGCCGCAGAGACGCCTCCCCTCAGTTCTAAGGTTATATATATTATTTTTCTTTGTCTATGTCCAACACCAAATGTTGCCAGTTGCTGGACATACATTTCTGTAAATTGTCTTAAGTTCTGTTATGGAATACAGTCAAATTGTGTCAAAATATACCTTCTTGTGTTTTTTGAGACAGGGTTTCTCTGTGTAGCAGCCCTGGCTGTCCTGGAACTTTCTTTGTAGACCAGGCTGGCCTCAAACTCACAGAGATTTGCTTGCCTCTGTCTCCCCAGTGTTGGGATCAAAGCTATTCACCAGCACAACTGGCCAAAATGCATTTCTTTTTTTAGTATTCCAAGAGTGTTTTGTGAGCTGGGCATAGTGGCGCACACTTACAATCTTGGTAATTAGGAAATGGAAGCATGGGAATTTCAGGTTTGAGGCCATGCTGGGCTGTGTGAGAAGAGGAAGAGGAAGGGGAGGAAGAAGATGAGGATGAAGAAGAGGATGAGGAGGAGGAGGGAGAGAAAGAGGAAGAAGACGATAAGGACGATAAAGATGCGGAAGAAAAAGAGGATGAGGAGGAGGAAGCAGCTCTGTAAGATTCTGGAACTAGGTCAGGGTTTCTTGTGCCCTAGTTTTATTTCTGTTGCTGTGATAAGATACCCTGACAAAAGCCACTCAAGGAAAAAAGGGTTCACTAATTTATTTATTAAGTCCACAGTCCTAGGTTTCAGTCCATGGCTTCAAGGATGACACAGTGTCAGAAGCTTCTGGTCACATGACATCCACAGTCAAGAGCAGAGGGAAATGAAGGGATGCCTAGTGCTCAGCTAGCTTTCTCCCCTCTTACACGGTTCAGGGCCCACACTAGGGAATGGTGCTCCATCACCGAGCCACGCCCCCAGCCCCTCACTGGGGGATTCTAGGCAGGGGCTCTACCACTGAGCCACACCCCAGCCAGAATGTATATTCCAGAGAGAACTTAGATGAGTCCTCAATTGTTTGAGTGTGAACTCCACTGCTCAATTTGATATAATTTGGATATCAGTAGTGCTACAACTTCAAGGTAATTATTTGCCCACTCTGTGCTTCTCTTTTCTGCCCTGAAAAACTGGTTTGAGAATTATGCAATGTGAAGTGGTGATATGTGATGATTGCCTAAGAGTATAATTTTATCACCTTCAGCTTCAGCAGAATCCAGACATTACACACACTGAGCTCTAAGATCACATTGTGATAGACAGCAGGCTCAAAGGACAATTGCTACTCTCTCAGGGGTCTGGAACACTATAGATTGGAATGCTTGGTTGCAAAGTTCCAGGGCAAGCCATTTATTTGCCTTATAGTTTAAGAGAGCAATACTCCCAGAAGTGGCATGCTGTGCCCATGAGACACGACTCTTAAGGAAGACAATGGGCAGAAGAGGAGGGTTAGGGTCACTCTCCACGTTCTCCAGCTCTGCGGGGAGAGCGCTTCCTCTGGGGTCTACTTGGCAATGCTCTGTTGTCATTCAGGGCTTGTGCTGTAGATCTCCTTCCAACTTCCCACTTATTCCCACTGAAAACATTAATTCCTGGCAGAAGAGTAGGGTGAACTAGCTCATTCTGCACCTGTTCTTGGGGACCAAGGCACTGGTGGATCTCTTCTTACCAATATCTGCTAGGAGCACCAGAGAATTTACAAGTTCCATGTGACGTTCTGATACAGTCAGCTCTATTTCTGGGTATCCACACAGTCAAGGCTTGCTGTTACAATCCTGAAGGGTCTAGTCATGTCTTTGGCTGGTGATAAGGTTCTTTTCCTCTTTGGACTGAAGTTTTCAGTCCAAAGGATGGAAAAGTCTGATTATTTTTGAATCTGGTTATTTCAAAGTAAATATAGGCTGGGGTATGGCTCAAGGCTGGAGCTTTTGCCTAGAATTTACCAGTGAGGGCGTGGCTCAGTGATAGTGCTCCTGCCTAGAATCCCCCAGTTAGGGACTGGGTGTGTGCCTCAGCAGTAGAGTTCCTGTCTAGAATTCCCCACTGAGGGGCTGGGAGTGTGGCTCAGGCTCAGGGATACAGTACTTCCCTAGCATTTCAGGGCCCTCACTGAAGGCAAGGGTGTAATGATTTCACTAGACCGAAGATAAATGAAAAATGGGTGTTTATTGGGGAGCACTTACACAGAAAATTACAAAGAAGCTTGGGAGCAGTTCTCCCCCCTTCCTACCGGATGGGCTGACGCAAGAGAAAGGCCCGTGCAAGTGAGACTGTGCCTTACACTTCCCTTTTCCACTTTTGTCTGCCTGAAGCCATGCCCAAGGGGTGTGGCCACCATTACAGGCAAGGCCTCTACAATTCCCCTTTTGGTCTAAAGAAGAAGGTTTTAAGCCTGATGCCAAAACTATATACGATGATAATAAATGTCAAATATATTTCAGGAAAAGGAAAGGTAAACATATACAAATTAAAAACTACCACCAGCGAGAGCAACATTGAGCAATAGATACATACTACATGTTCTGTATTCATGTCTAGCATCAGGGTAAATGTTGGTTCCCATAAAGATGGCTATACTCCATCTTGGCTCAAGGGCAGAGAGTTAAACAACTGTCCTTAGTATGCCATAAGGCCCAAAGGTCAAAGGCATGGATGTTTGATCTTGGCCTTGGGTGTCTTATTCTAAGTAACAACAGACCTGGTCTGAGGTGTGGTTATTCCTGGCCCTCAAGGCCAGGTAATGAGAAGTTGACTCTAAGGTGTGGTTACTGAATCCTTGGAGAAATGAGGAAGAAAAATCTGCTCTGTATACATGATACCATGTTCCCCCTGTTGGTTAAAGTATATAAGAGTGGTGAAAAATAAACTTGTGGCATTCAGTATGAACTGAATCTACCCTCCTGGCATCTATTCTGTGTCTCCCTCTTTTCCTTTAACTCCTTTAGCTAGCTAGCCTTTCCTTAGTCCACACTCCCTTTTCCAGGTATGAACCATGGGCTGCCTGGCTGTCTCCAATTGCAGCCCCGGAAAAAACAGGCTCCTACAGGTAAAGGCATGAGACAGTACTCTGATAGCAGTCCTAATCTGGAAAGTTGGAAATTTTGTCAATCTAAGATCAGAGAGGATATGGCTATGCCTGTCTTGTCTTCAACTGAAAGACACGCAGAGTGTGGAAATTCACGCCCCCACTCAGGAGAGGCGACACTCCAAATCACTCACAAGAAGCGGTCTCGATGCTAATAGCATGAGGAGTTTTTATTCCAAGTGCAGTGGGGTCCACAGTCATATGCCATGCAGAGGTAGAGGACTGATGACCCCGAGTGCAGAATTGAGACAGCTTTTATAGGATTTACATCAAAGCTAACAAGGCCAGTTTCAAAGCTTGCCTGTTATTTTCACTAGGCCTAAAAGCAAAGTTGTGGGACAGTTCAAAACTTGGATGGTTAATAAGGTTTCCTAGGTTACAGAGATTTTATAGAGTACACAGTTTTTACAAGGCAGAATTGCTTAGCGCACCTGCAAGGTTAGGGGATTTTCTTTCTCTAGGACCAGCGGGCTCAGTGGCCTTGTCCTTAAGATAATGGGGGGCAGGGAGAATGTCCTCTCCAGTCAGGGAGTTATCTACATCTATTGGCAGAAGCACTTGTTCTTTCTAGTTTTCCCTTCTTGCCACAAGTCCCGTCTCTTTAGTTATTAATTTTCTTTGTGGACAGGATGACCCATAACAATTCCCAGACTGTTGTGGATAACAACATTCCTCAGAAACTAGGTGGTTATGAATAATAATAATAATTTCCAGAAACCGGTCATCGTGACCAAGCTATTTCATGTGTTTTTCTTTTTCCTGAGCTTTGCATGTAGCTAGGGCAATTTTTAAATACATGCTGGTGGATATCTTTAAATTTCTAACTTTTAGTCGTCATTAGAGAGTTAGGCTGTATTTTCATTCTTTCACAACCTCATCAAAGACCTGAGAAGGAAAATAACAATACTAGGGTAGGCAGGAAGTACAAGTGTGTGATTTCCAAAAGGAGCAAACAAAGACAAAAACAGCAGGCTACCTGGACAGTCACCCAAGGTCTCACAGCAACGCTGGGGTGACCAGCTTTGGCTAAGGCCTAAAGTATCAGACGGACCATTTCAGAAGCAGGGAATTGAAAAAACTATCTTAGCTTGACTTGGCAAGGTTCAGCAGTCTCCTTTAAGTTTATCTCCTGTAAGCCCAGTAAGGACAGCTTGCCCAAGGTTGAGGTGGGGACAGTTCTTTGCCCAAGAGGCCAGTAGCTGAGGAGAGAATGAACTCCAGATGGAACGTCATTGGTGCTCAACATACTCTTGGGAATAGCTCGGTGCTGTAAGGAGCAATTGTGTCTCATGTCAATGGTGTATTAATATTAAGACATTGAAATGCAATATTCTGCAGGTCTTTGAAGTGTTCATCTATGTCTGACTAACCTCATAGGTATAAGAAACATGGGTAGCTATAATCTGTAAGTCTCAGAAACATAGTTGCTCAATGGCTGAGCATTTCCAAAATAATTTAGCAAGGACTTCAAACAATGTAAGCCCCTCCCCATACGAATCTCAACAACAGAGATAGAACTGAAATGTCTTGACTAGAGGTAGAATTGTAAAGTGCAACAAGATAAAATATATCCTAAGTTGTATCAATATACAAAATATATACATAAAGGTAGTTTTATATTTGTGTGCAAAATATTGT